GGTTGCTTATGGATAAACGTTTGTTTCCTATCTTTTGGCATAATAACCGTCTATACTGATGTACTTTTTTCCAAAAAAAAAAGTTTATATAGAACTTCTGGATCAGAGGATGTGTACATTTTTAAAATTTGGTAAATAATACTAAATGCTTTCCAAAAGTTTTACCGTTTCATACTCAACAACCAATAAGATGCCTATTTCACCATCTCCTTATCAAAGGTGTTTTTGCCAATCTAAGGGTGTTTTTCATTGCATTAGTATTTTAACTTGCATTTATTTATGAATAAGGTTAAGAATCTTTCCAAATGTTTGAAATCTATTTCAAATATTTTCTCTGAATTCCCTGTTTATACCCTTTATACTTTTCTACTGTGTTGTTGATTTCAAATAGCACTTTACATATTAAGGTTAGCCCTCTGCTGACATTTAGAAGTTATTTTCTGATTTACTGATATTTTAAACTTTGCTTATAGTTTCTTTCCATGCAGACATGTTTTATTTGTATGTATCAGTTTCACCCTCTTACCTTCAATGTCAGTGTCTACAACTCGTCCATGTTTTAATCCCATACCAGAAGGCTTTATCTGAGACTTTGTTCCCTTTAGCCTATGAGCATACTCAGTGCTTCACTTTAAGTTAAATAGGTGAATAACCAGTCTTGGAATTATTTTCTTTTCAATTATTATAATAGAATACAAGAGAAAGGAGAGAAAAACATGAGTTCCATATCTAACAAATTGCACTGAAATCTTGGAAATACTTTTCATTTATCCTGCTTGAGAATTATGATTCCTAAATCTGAAGGTATATACCTCTTACCTTTACTGAAAAATTCTCAGCTATTTCCTTTTTAAATATTGTCTCTTCATTTTCTCTCATTTCTCCTTCTAGAATTCCTTTAGACATGAGTTGGAGCTTTTATCTTTCCTCTGTATCTCTTAATCTCTCAAGCTAACTCTGTACCTCTCTCTCTGCTGAGTTCTGTGTAATTTCTTCTCATCTAATTTCTGGTTCACCAATTCTCTCTTCAACTCTGTCAAACTTGTCATTTAACTTCTGACCGTTAACTTTTGAATATCAATGGCTATATTTTTCATAGGTGACAGTCATTTTTATAAATTCAAACCAGTCTTGTATCTTTAATAATGTCTTTCTTTCCCAGATGTTTCAATTCCTTTTATGTTTGTAATGATTTTAAACATTTTTACATTATGATTGCCTTTTGGTAAGTATATTACTCGAAGTTCTTAAGTGCCAAATCCCACTGTTTTTGGTTTATTGGCCCTTGCTCACATTTGGGGCTGAGCGGATGGGCAAAGAATGCGTTGTCATTTTAAACTGTGAGTTCATGCTTAGTAGGATGTTTTCTGTAAGAATCCTGTAAGGTCTGGGTGAAGATGTTCCCTCTGAAAAGATTTTGCTTTGCTTCTACCAAGTAACCCAGAGGTATCACCAACTGCAAATCACTTTTTCATGTTATTTTTGTCAATTTCTTGGCTTGAACATTCCCCTCAAAAAAAAAAAAAAGTAGTGTAAACTTGAACCTCAAATCTGTGAAAAAGCAGACTTAGGATTATAATTCTCAGGGGAGACTGAGAGAGACTGGGCCCATGCTGTTTGTGTGTGTAGAGGTAGTGAGCTCTTCATTCCAGTGCCCCACCTCCACAGACCCAAAGCTTTCTCTCCTCGTGGTATGTAGCCGTGAAAACCAAGCACCTGAATTACCGACACTGTCAAAACCAAACCCAAACCAACCACACTCAGTAGCCAGTTGCTTTAAGTTCCTTCTGTTGTTGTTGTCGTCTGTGTTGTGGGAGAAAAGGGTGGTCTTAGGGTACTTCCCTTACTTTCTTGTCTGTGTTGTGGGGGAGAGGGGTGGTCTTTTTTTCCTTAGTTTCTTGAGAGGTCAACAGTACATTTAAATAATATGTTCATTATATTTTATCCAGCATTATGTGTTCTATAGCAGGAGAGTTTTCTAGTTATATAGTCACCCATGTTGCCAAAAATAGAAAACCTGGAAATACATCATAGAGATTTCCCATTTATAAAAATGCCGAGCAAAATATTCATTACTGAACATTTCTTAAGTAGACTATTAACTATTTTGACATCAACTTCAAAAGATCAGAATGTATTTCTCAGATTTCCTAATGTCTCATAACATACCAGCATGCATTTATTATATGTGAGCCTTTCTAAACATTTTAAAATTTTTTTTAAATTTTAAAATTCTACTCTTCTGTCTTTGAACATTAATAGTGATTCCTATTTTGAAAACTTTCACTTGACCCTGCTGCCACTTAAGTACTTTATTCACTCAACCGATATCCATTTGAGTACCTATTGTGTACCAGGCATTTTTCTGGGTAGTGGCAGAACAATATTGCAGCTTATATCTTAGTGAATGGAGACAAACATATAAATATGTCAAGTAGTGATGAGTGACATGTACAAAGAACAAAGCAGGATAACAGGTCAGGGAGTAACAATCTGGGGCCATGAGGGGAAGCGACTACTATTTTATAGAAGTGGGCAGTCAAGTCCTTTTGGACAAGATGACATTTGAACAACTTTAAAGGATGGGAGAGAGAGACATGCAGATACATGGAAAACTAGCATTCCAGATAGAGGGATCAGCTAATATTCCTGAGGCAGGGGCACACAGTGTGCCTTCAGAGTGAGTGAGGGGGACACTGGTGGGAAATAAGGTCAGAGTCTATCTCCCGACATACTCCTCATCTAATCAATTACTATACCGTTCCCACTGTCTCGCATCCACCTCTCAGTCTCGATCTTTGTTCAAGCCCTTACCATCCTTGTCTTGTTCCTCTGAGATTGGCTAGTACAACACTGTCCACACTTAGATGCTCCACAGATGTTTGGCGATAACATATTTGAATCACTTTCTCACAATATGTTGTCTTGGCTGGCCCCCCATCAAGGACCTAATGGAATTTGTGTTCCTGAATTTTGTTTCCTTTAGTATTATGACCTCTGGTTCAGAATATTATTGTGATGGGAAATGAAGTTACGTGTACATACACACTTGACTAGACCACTATTTTATTATAAGCTTAATTGGCACACAGTTCACTGAAGGTACACTTCACTTTTACACAGTCTTGTACATAGAAAAAATACATTGATGCACAAAAATATGGTAATTCAGTAACAAATTTAAGCAAAGGATTCCAAAGAGAATACAGGTTATTCATTTCAATAATTAAAGACGGTTCTTGTCTATGCACTATATCATGTATACATGTTTAATTGTATATTACATTTAAGACCAATGGACTCTGTAGCTAATTGCTCATTTGGTTCTTGAAAAACTAAAACATACAAATATTGTCTTCTTTTTAACTACACAAATATAAAATGTTCCCTGATATGTAAGCTGTAAAATTATGATTCACTCCACTGAAGTCTGATGGCAACTTTAGAAGGCACTTCTTGTGATTATGACTCTGCCCTTAAAATGTCTGAATCTTTTCCTCACTAAAATATGCAGTTCAAATGAATACGACCCAATGACTTCTTTAGTATTCAAAAGAAGTCTCATTTCAAGGATAGAAACCACAGCTAGGTTTTTTTAAGGGACTTGTGGAAGAGCAGTGGCAAAAAAACCCCAACAGGATAGGTGCTCAATAAAAAGCTATTTGAAAATAATCATGTAAAAGCAATTACTCTCCATCATAGTTGTATTTTTCTAATTACAACTCTGCCAAACATTTGCCACTACAAAATGCATTTATTTTTTTTTTCTTTATTTAAATTATAATGTATTTCTTTCTAAATAGCCATTAAGCTCTTTGGAAAATTTAATCTATTTAAACCACTTTTCCAAACAAGAATTCCCCCCCTTTGACCTTGATAAAATGCCATGAGGCATATTTTAAAGCCACCTTTAATTTGGTATGAAGACACTTTGGTCAAGAATACATGACCTTGGGGCTGGCCGAGTGGCGCGATGGTTAAGAACTCGCTTGGGATGCCAGAGGGCCCCGGTTCGGATCCCACATATGAGGGCCAGTGACACTNGCCAGTGAAGCAACGTCCTCCACAACTAGACTGAAGAACAAAAGGACAGCAATTTGTCCCCTTCCCCCAATTCCCCAATAAAAATCTTTAAAAGAAATGGAGAGATGGGAAAGAGGTCGAGGTTTTGGGGGCAAAGGAAGTCATGCCTTTTAAAGATTTTCTTCCTTCAAGAAAATTTAAAGTGAGGGGACCATTTAAAGATTTTCTTCCTTCAAGAGTACGGTGTGTGGGAGCTTTCACCTCCTCCCTTTGCAGAGGGTGAATGTGGACAAGTTTCACCAGATCCTTAAGACCAATTCAGGAACAGCAATCTGATAATAGGGGCTCACACAGTAAATTCCCTTATCCCTGACGCCCCACTATTCCTCCTCACACCAACACTATTAACTAAGGGCTCTACTCTCAGACACCAAGTCCTGCTAAAGAAATGGGGAAACTAATAAATGAGTCTATTACAAATCTCATCTGAACCCTCACTGCTATTCAGGAATCCCTTAATTAATCTCTTAACTTCCTCTCAAAATCCCTAAGTAGTAATTTCCAACTTTGCCTCAATTCATTTCAGTGATTTACCCCCTTCATTTGCAAAAGCTAAAAATAGTTTTTTGAGACTAGGAAAAAATCACCTCTATAAACTGGGTTAAGGAATTTTTTTTTTCCTTACCAGAATTTTAGAGATTTATGGCTTTTAGGATCATGTGAGAATAAGATTACCATCAAAGCCAAATACAAGTCACTCATCCATCATACTAAGGAAGCCTTGTTATAGTTAATTAACTCACATGCCTCCCCCCCAAAAAAAACCTCTGAAATTTTGAAAACTATAAAAACTTTACTCACCACTGTAAGCTCTTTACCAGCTGCTTTACGGAATGCTTTAGTCCACCTGACCTTGCGAGGGTTGCGCTTCTTTTTAAAGTTTTTATGACACTTGGATTTACAGAATCTGAACACCTACAAGAAAAGTTAAAATAGTGAGAAGTCAATATTAAAAATCTTCCACCGGGCTGGCCAAGTAGCACGTTGGTTAAGAGCTGGCTTGGGACGCCAGCTCTGAGCAGCAGGGCCCCGGTTCGGATCCCACATGAGGGCCTGTGACACTGCCCTCTACAGTTAAGATGGTGAACAACAGCTCGACCTGGAGCTGGGCTGCTGTGAGTCGCCGGCAACAGCGTAGGCTGTAGCAAAGCTGCAGTGGACTGCCATAAGCTATCGTGTGTGGCTGGCAGCCAGCGTGAGCTGCCAAGAGCCACCGTGAGCAGCCGTCCAGTGGCCGGTGACCGATCTGCCTCACCTGGGAAGAGTGCAATGATAAAACCAACATGGGCCAGTTAAGCGACGTCCTCCACAACTAGACTGAAGAACAAAAGGACAGCAACTAGTCTGCTCCCCTTCCTCGATTTCCCAATGCTGTTCCCCTCCCCCAATTCCCCAATAAAATCTTTAAAAACAAAAAGAAAATCTTCTACCATAGATGTTATCCCTACCAGACAAAATATACTATAAAGTTTGAGAAATAACAATGTTTCTCACTCACAATTGCTTCTACTTACAACACCATTTAGAAATGTGTGGACATGTCACATTAAATGGAAATTGACTTTTTTGAGCTATCAAGCATCATCACAACTAAAAGCTGAGGGACCTGAAAATATGGTTAAAAATTACCATTTTTACAGAATAACAGTAAAACCTTAATTGATATTGAATAAGAAATAGTTTTAAGGAAAGTAATTTATTTAAATCTTCATTTCAGAATAATTCTCAAAATTCACTTTCTGTATACCTCAATGAGGGTAAAAATTTCAAACCACCATTCTGCAATCTCCTTTGGTTCTTTCTAGCCTTGAACAAAATAATTACAAGAAAAGCAATAAAAACTGGCTATAAATTTTTCTGAAGTATTCATAGATCTACTAAGAAGATTCATCATTATTTTAATTCTCCACCTCATCCCAAATGACGCAATCCTTTAAGAGTGCTTACAACGTAATGATGCCTCAATGGTACTTCAATGTGCTCCTGAAATGGCCGATTGGGACTCATTATACAAACCTTAAATGTACTATTTTGTTACTCTGTAATGTTTTAGACCACATTACAATTTGTGTGTGTGCATTACCAGAGGAAATCTGAAGAAGAAAAAGTGATTTTTTGAGCTTATGAATCTTGGCAAAGAAAAAATAAAAAAGTTAAGTTGAATTACCACATCTAGATGTGACCTATTAAAAAAAAAGGACAAAATGAGGTATAAACATTTCAAACTAAGCAAATACACACACACACACACACACACACACACACACACACACACATCACAAGCCAAAATACTTTTCACTTTATGTATACTTTGTTCTACGGGGAACTTCAAGCAGGTCATTATACACACTAGGACATAGTTTTCTTAGAAATGGTCAATACCAGTTTAATCTAATCTAGGCACATACCTCGTGGAGAGCCCTTTCCTAAGAGACTTGAGTGAAAGCATGTCTACATTCCTAAATTAATTTCAAATTAACTAGAAAATAGTACTGTAATCTACTGGAGTAACTCACTATGAAGTCATTATCAGTAAAATTTCTTTGAGTATTTACAATCTAAAGTACCATTACCTTTTTAAGTAAGAGCCTCCCATGTTTAATACCCAATAGATAACTCCCAGACAAATACCCATTTCTGAGATATATCTAATGAGAAATCTGAACTTATCCTGGGTCTCCTTAATTCCAAATAGAGTCAATGGGAAGTTTCCGGGAAGTCTACTTGAACTCCACACCCTAATAGGTGCTACTTAAAACGCACAATGAAGTATCTCAAGAGACTGGAGTCAACGGGGATGGGAAGGGTATTCAACCAGCAAATAAGGTGCATCTACTATGTGCCGGATGTTATCATAGGTGCTAGGGATACAAGAATAATTAAAACATTATTTTAATTTAAGTTCTGAGTCCCTACCTTCAGAACTTAGGCGCAAGCTAAGTATGATAAAGTCTCACTTTGCAGATAAGAGACTGAGATCAGATTAGGCTATAACAAAGAAATAAAGCTATATACAATAATCATGTATAATATGGAAACACACGATAAGGTGATTATCTACAGTGGGGTAGGTGGTGGATGGATTGTAAGACAAAGCTTCATAAACTCAAGTTTCCCTTTTAGTTTAGTCCTCTAGCATCATCCTCAGTCAACACACAAACAAATGATCAATTCATACCTCAGCCTCAAAGTCCTTCAACCCTTTCTTATTCCATTAATTCAACAAGCATTTATTAAGCACTTATTACGGGTGTATGTATTTTTCTGTTTGCAAACTATGTGAAAATGTGGAACATTAACATTAATTCTACCTTTAAGAAGCTTCCTAAGAAGTGTTAAGATGGGCAGTCTCTACGAAAGATGGTCGCAAAAGTTAAGAGCGTAAAGGCAGAAAGACTAGTTAGGAGGCTAGAAAAGTGACAAGTGCCCAATCTGGAACCAGGACAGAGGGCAGAAAGAAAGCAAAGAGATGACTATCCTTTGCAAAGGTAAAATGAATAGGACTTGTCTCACATTTCCAGCAAAACTGTCTAGGCAGATGACAGGAATTAATTTAGAGAGCAAAGGAGATCCAGATTTGGGAATCACCAAGAGATAAAATGAGATACAGGCATACCTCATTTTATTGCGCTTTACTTGACTGCACTTCACAGGTGTTGCGTTTTTTACAAACTGAAGGAAGACCCTCTACCAGCAAAAAGATAACTCTCTTTATTGCAGTAGTCGGGTACCGGACCTACAACATTGCCGAGATGTGACTGTACTTGTTCTTCATTAGTGCTTCCAGGATTCTACTTATTTCCCCAATCAACTCTGTTCTGGATCCACTGGTCTTCCCTAGAGCAAGGTGGCTGCCAGCCAATTCAACACTGTACTTGTTAGCAACATAGACTTCCCCATCAACTTGAACTTCCAATGTGCCAGATCAACACCCAACTCCAGCTAGCTCCCACAATCTGTTGTTCTAATTCCAATACCGGGTGACAGGCATTGCTGGACAAAACTCATAAAATCAGGATTGCCAGATCAACTTGGCAATCATTTCATTTTTATAAACTTTTGATCATGTTCCTGAGAGCAGGTACTCAAAATCTTCTACATGCTTTTTTCAAGTTCCCAAACATAGCTTTGGTTCCTCACTTTCAGCAAGAACCCTTGCTCCTAATTAAACGGGATCAGTACCTTCTATCTATAATAGAGATATAAGGCAATAAAGCAGGAACTATAATTCTTTAGCTTGTCAAAATCACTTCTTTAAAGATTCCTAAATGCTTTCCCAAAGATTCCAATTCAACAGATCTGATGGAAACCAGGAATCTGTATTTTTTTACGAGTGCCCAGTGATTCAGAAGCAAATGTAAGAGATGTCAAATTCTGAGAAAAAGTGTGTCAAAGACAACAGAAGAATGAGATTCATTCTGACTTAAG